TGTTCTGTATTAAGGAGAAGGGGGTTTGATAATTATTTTATTCATTAAAATTAGAAGAAAAAAGGACGTCCACTTGCACAGTGTCATTTACAGTGATACACATACTCAAATATGGATAAATTCTGGCTGTGAAAAACTTAGCCTAGGGCTTTCATTACCAGAGACATGTCTTTCTCATAGCTTTATTGTGACTGTCAACGACTTCATTGTGTAGGTACGCATCACTGAGGGAATAGTCTTAGAATATTTTCTTTTAATTAAACAGGCATGGTATCTGCTAAGAGTTCAGAAAATGTGCCATGTGCCGCTGATGCAGTGTAAATCACCATTATAAACAGCTCATGTTGCAAACCACTGATGAGCATTTACGTGATGTTTCCACATACACATACAAACTCAGTTTTAATGTTTTGAGTATTTACTTCAACACATACACAGACGTTTATACTAAGCTCCTATATGCTTATGTTTAAATAGGATCTATTTTCATGTATCATATTTTTACCTGTTTCCAGGACAGTTGATTGTTATCATGGAATTCTTTTCCAACATTTCCAATATTTTTATTGATTATTTGGGAATTTCATGCAATGCACCCTGATCACACCAGATTCTCATTACTCCCAGGTCCACCCTACAACCCTTGTGCCCCGCCAAAAGAAAAAAAATTAATCAAGTCCAATTTGAGTTGCCTATATACTCACTGGAGTACTGTCAAACTCCCTGTGGCCAGCCCCTTAAAGATAACTGAATCCTTCCCCGTCATAAAATGAAACACTGGCAAAAGCTGCTTTTGTTGTTGCTATTGTTTAAGATGGTAATTATCATGCTGTAGCCTAGGCTGGCTTGGAACTTATTCTATAGTTCAGTCTGGCCTGAAACTCAGCATTCTATCTGCCTCAGCTTTCTGAGTGCTGGGGGGTATAAATGGGTAACAGCACAATTGGAATACACAGCTTTCTTTTTATGAAAGTATTTCTCTTATTTTTACTTATGTGTGCATATTAGTGTGTGTCTGTGCCTGGTGTGGGGTGAGGCCAGAGGCGGTGGATACCTTGCAGCTTGAGTTATAAGCGGTTGTTAGCTGAAAGATATGGATTCTGCAAACTGACCTCAGGCCCTTTACAAGAGCAGTAAGCACTATTAGCCACTGACCCATCTCTCCAGTCTCCCACCCCACACGACATATTGATTGGCATATTGCCTAAAAGGATTAGGGTCTCTGGGAGCAAATATTCAGTTTATGTACACATCAAAAACTCATTTACATTGAGGCTGGGAAGATGGCCCATCAGTTAAGAGTTCCTGTGCTTTTACAGGAGACCCAGGTTCAATTTCCAGCACCCGCATACATGCAAGTTCACAGATGTCTGTAACACTAGTTCCAGAGGATCAGACGGCCTCTGTTGACCAGAAATCTGTGTGGTGCACATACATGCATGCAAGCAAAACTTCATCTGCATAAAATAAAGAATATATATATATATGATATAATTTATTTAAATTGGAAGTGGTGGCACTGGGGAGGCAGAGATACTCATGAGGAATTCAAGGCCAGCAGGAACTACACAGTAACAGCCTGTCTCAATAAAACAAAACTTAAATAGCAACTAGAAATATAATTATTTGGATGCCACTCACGAATAAGATTTGAAGATTTGGGTATTCTAATTCTTATCATGCCAATATGGACAGTATTATTACTCAAAAACAAATACCAAATTATATTTATACATATATGCTTCACAAGATGGAGGATCTTTTCTCCCCTCAAAATTATTTTTTATGAATTTAAAAATGATTTAACTCAAGTCTCACTATGTAGCGGAGGTTGGCATGGATATTCATTCAGTATAAAGCTGAGGCTGGCCTCAAACTTGAGATCCTCTTGCCTTAGCCTGCTCAGTGCTAGAATTGCAGGTGAATGCTAGCATGCCTGAACTTCAAATTTTTCTTCTGTGCTTTCCGTATATTTATTTTTCTTAGTATAAAAATTGCTTAAAACACAGTTTGTTTTTGTTGATTCTCTTCCTCCACTTGTCTCCCCCAAACTCCTGTCCCTCCTTCCTGCTGTGCCCCGTTTTCCTCAACTAGAACCTCTTCTTCATTGCTGCCACATGTACTCTGGTACCCTCCTCTCATCCTTTCCTTTAGTTCCCCTCTCCAGATACATGCCAACCTTAAGACCTCTTTTTTTTTTTTTTTTAACCGCTCATGATCCCCTATATAGTTTCATGAAGGTACAAACACACAATATACACACATATGTAACAATGAAAATCTGGGCACTTTCCAGGCCTGAGCTGGTAGAGCACAGAGATGCCCCCCACCCTACCTCTTGAGGGGGGGTCACAATCAACCATGAGCCTCTGGCGCTGGGTGGTCAGGCACCATCATACCAAGTGCCACCAGTGGTCTCTAGGCCCCAGCATATGAGAGAGGAAAAACAACAGCTCTGCGAAGTGCCTTGCAGCTGGGGTGGGCAAGACTCAACCAAGTGCCATCTGTGACTCAACCAGGAGTGTGGGTGCTAGGCAGTCTGTGGTGAGCGGGAACAGGGTAGGGAAGTAGAAGAGATAGAGAGGCAAAGCAGTTTATGGGCTGGGAAGAGAGGCTGATCTGAAGAAGTGAGGGCAGTGAACTGGCTGACATCACCCTGGTAGCCACCCCCGTCCAGGGTGATGTCCAAGCTTGGGCAATCGCCAAGGGCCAGGTCTTGGTCTGAAGCCCTGAGGCAGATGAGGGGGCCTGTGCTGATGTCTGTGGCTCCTGTTCCCACTGAGGGCTGTGCAGAAGCCTGTGATCTGGGCTGCCACCTGGGGACATGTTGGTATCCAAGAGCCATGCTGACACAGGTGTCATGCCTGAGAGATCTGCACTGCCACCTGGGGCCATGGTGTGATCCTAGCCTGCACTGCTGCCAAGAACCATGTCTGGGTCTGTGATCCTAATACAGTCAGAGTCTGTGTTGATGTCCCTGGCCCTTGTTGGCACCAAAGACCACACAGACGCCTACAGTCTAGGCCACAAACTGTAACCATGCTGGTATCCAACGGTTGTGCTGTTTGTGGTTGCCCATGTTTGTACCTGAGAGGAGGAGTGGATTGAGGACAGGAATAAGCAAGAGACAAGAGATAGAGCTGGGAGGGTATTCAGTGTATACTGAATCACCCGTGTTTATTGTACAGTCTTCTTATACCCCCATCAAAAGAGGGGAGAAGGCAAAAGACTTTCCTTCAAGATACAAAGAACAAGCCAGTGTAATTATCTTGCCAATACCCAGAACATCAAGTAACTATCTCCTGAGTTAAGTACTTTAACTGGGGCCAAGTTGATTTGAGTGGCTAGCACTGTCATCTGGGGCTATGCTATCATCTAGGCCAGAGTTGCTGCCAAGGGCCATGTCTGGGTCCATGGCCTTACTGTAGTCTGTGTTGATGTTCATAGCTCCAGATACCATCGAAGGCCATGTTGGTGCCCAAGGGCTGTGCTGCCATCAGGGTCAAGCCAATCTGAGAGTCCAGCACTGTCATCTGGGGCCATAGTATCATCTGGGCCAAGGCTTCTTCCAAGGACCATACATATCTGGCTCCACGGCTCTATAGCAGCCAGGGTCTGAGTTGATGTCTGTGGCTCGTGTTAATACCAAAGACCATGCAGATTACTGGGTCTGGTGAGCCATCTGAGACCATGCCGGTGTCCCAGGACCATGCTGCTGCTGAACCCATACTGATCTGGGTGGCTTGTGCTGCCACCTGGAGTCATGGGGAAGTCCAGGCCTGGACCACTGCCTAGGGCCATGTCTGGGTCCATGGTCCTGCAGCAGCTGGGGTCTGGAGTGATGTCCATGACTCCTGTTACTATCAAGGTCTCTGCAGATGCCCAGGGTCTGGTCAACCACATGAGACCACATTGGTGTCCAAGGGCTATGCTACCACCAGGGCTATATTGATCTGGATGGCCTGGGCTGCCACTGACACCATGGTGATGTCAGAGCCCAAGCTGCTGCCAAAGGCATGTCTGGGTCTGTGGTCCTGCTGCAGCTGGGGTCTCTCTTTGATGATTTCCATGGCCCATGTCAGCACAGGAGATCATTGGAACCATGCTGTGCTAAGGTGACCCTACTCTGCACTGGCTGTGGGATAGCTGGTCCTGCACCTCCCTGGATACTGAATCAAGACAGCTGGACCACCCCTCAGGGGAGAGCTCCCCCACCTTAGCACTGGAGAAAGATGGCCCTACTCCTCACCACAGGTATATACCTCACCTGGGGAGCACACAAGAGCTGACTCTGTGCTTGGGGACACAGGTAAGTCAACTCATTTCACCTTTGTCTGCTTTGTGACATGGTTGAGAAAAAAAAGTCTTCCTCCCCTCACCC